CAACTGGTGACAATCTTCGCCTTAGTATTGACGTTGGCAAAGCCGGAAAACCGCAATGACTTATTTCAACTAGCATTGTTTTCAGGACCACCCCAACGACTGCTATCGATTTTCGCTCCCTTCGCCTTGCACAAATCCAAGGGGCCACATTACAAGGCTTGGCCTTCCTCCCGGGTCTTATCATTCAAGGAGAGGACTGGCATTTTGTAGCCTCCACGCGAGAGGGAGCTAGTACCGTAAGATGCAACCTGGTGCTCCCTGGCACCCCCTGTGTCCTGCCTCTCGTTCTTGTTACTGATTCATAATGTAGCTGTTGTGGTCCAAGAAGAACGTAGGCTCGACAACGAATCACGAAGGAGTTTACCAGGTCGTCCGGGTAATCCAATACCTTGCCTGGTGGACGGAGGCGGTATACTGGCCCTGGTTTTCATCGACCATCCTTGGCGTCCCAGCGAGTGGGCCGTGACTGACGATGCTGGGTGATGGTTTGGAAAGAGGTCTATCTTGAAATTACTACACTAAAATCCAGGTCCATCACACGAAGAGGTCGGGGACTTGGGGCACGTCATGCGTGAGCCTTTACATCGGCCTCTCGGTCATGAGTGACATGGAGCCATCTGCTTCTCGACAATCTCCAACTACCTCAGTGTAGCCGTCTGAGTGGATAGCCTCTCGCAATGTTGCGTAATGCAGGATAAAGAGACGGGAGAACGCATCAAGTGCGTTAGGAAGCCTCATACGAATGCGTAGCATATTAGCAAGATCGCCATCTAGGACGTCTAACTCAAAACACCGGATTCGCAGTATCGTTTGATCAAATTTCGGCAGAGCGGATGCATAAACAAGTCGGGTAGCGCGTATGCTGCCTCTGACGACAGCAAGCTCTGTTGCAAGAAAGCTCGCAGCGCAACGGTGCCGCTGTTAAGGCGTTCCGGAAACGAGCTATTCTTGACGAGATGCATCGCGACAACTATAGTGAATAGACCTACGACTGTATACTGTACCAATGAAGTCCCGAATCACGACCTATTTGCGTGGCACGGATCTCGGTGGCTGTCACCCCGGCAGTGCTGCGACGCCTGAGCGGCTGTGAATCTGTTCTTGATCCGCTTTCTGTACCCAGCCATGTGAGTTCCTTGGAGATCGGTTCATTTCGCTAAATCAGGTCTTGACCCAAATGACACGTCGTCTGGTATGCGACAATTTAGGCTTTGAATCCCTTCTAACCTCTGCACTGGCTACGCAAGACAGTGACACGTTCTATTCACCGCGTATTAACCGGCTGATTTGAAGAGATGGAGGGAGACATTCCAACGAGCGTCCAGCCATCGGTTATCGACTCCGCGCTGCTTTTAGTCTGTTCTCGGGACGACTGCCGTATTGCTTCATCGCCGACTTCGAGCGTTGTGACCGAGCACCTAGCTCGCAACATCAGATACCGGCAGAGAGGCGCAGACAGGTAATTTATACACCACGACGCTCAGATCTGCGCCTCAAGGAGCCTACTTCTGTTGACCCACGACCCGACGGCGTTCTCATCGATAACCGGCGTCGGTGTCACGATGGATTTCTCTACGATTTCTGCCCGTTCCGCACCATCAGCAAGCCGATAATCGAGCGGCATCTCAATAGAAGGCCCTTTCGGGCGACTACCGGAAGGTGGGCAAGCAGTCACGCTTCAATTGCCTCGTCGCACATGCCGGTATCCTTACAGGCCTGGGTTCGTAACCCGCCCCGGTCGCAATACTGGACTGATTCACGGGCCGATGCTGCCACGACGGAAGTCAGGCCCTTTGGACGCGACGAAGGAGCTGCGTCACTTACGCGACGCCTGGCACGCGAAGAGGCGTTCCATCAGCGATCAGCCGTGCCCAAGGGGAAGAACTTGCTCTGCCGCCCAGGAGGGGTCTTCCAACAACACAGCAGTGGCATACACGGAATTCCGACCCTGGCTAGAGCGGACGGGATGGGAGCGGGTGTATGCCAACGTGGACCGTCAGCTTCTCTACCCACTGACTCTGCGGCCAGTAAAGCGCTCGTATCGCCCTCTTCTTCTCTCGGCGGGCCTGTCGTAGCTCGACAACGAGATCGTTAGCCCTGCTGATGACGAGGCCAAGATTGCAGCGCTCTGTCACGCGGCGTACAATATCATCAGTCGATGCGAGAAAACGGCAAGAACGTCTAGCAGGAACCCACTCTGCTGGCTACGTAGTGTGCACCCGAGCAAGTGCTATCCGAAGCCTTTTTCGCTTGTGGCAAGGAAGAACACTCGAGAACGCTACATTTCCATGCTCCAAAGGCTTGTACCGCTGATCTTCCGGGTCTATCGGTTGTCAACAGATCTCCGACGAGATGCAGCCGGCGTGTCCCTCACGGAAGAGGACTAGGTTGCCTGTGGAAGGTCTGGAACTACCCTTGTCTGAACATGAAAACTCCTCAACGCGGGGAATGCGAGAGTCTGAACACAGATATCTCCGCAGATTGCGCATGCGAAGATATGGGGGAAGTCAGCGACAGGGATGGTTGGGAAGAGGATAACAGCGATCTTGACGACCAGCAATCACTAGCCAGCAGCAGCGACGACGAGGGTCATCAGTTCGGCGATCCTGAAGAGTCTTTTTGCGACGATAGCAGTCAAACGAATGCGATACCAGTACCAACACGCAATGTCCAAGAAAACCGGAAGCCGAGGGAGTAGGGACCGAGGGAGTAGGGACCGAGGGTGCAGGTAGCCTAGACGAGCTTCTGTTTGAACTGGTCATACTATTCTGTACACAAGAAGGTGAAGACGAGAAATGTGTTCGTCGTTGGTACCTAAAGATTACGCATCTCACTAACTCTTGAATCTGCGAGGCAAGCCATGGATATCGTAGCAGTGCACCATAATTTTGAAAACATAAAGCTGTCCGTTCCGGGAATCGCATTGCATATTACATATGACCATCTGTCATGTTTGCACACGCCAACGGCTCTATAGCCTTCTTGTAGGTCGCCACATACCGTTCGCACTGGACAGTGGATTCATGTCCAGCCCCCAACGCAGCCCGCATCTTCGGCAAAATTGTCGTCCATACGCGCATCGCGTCACCTTTGTGTCCTTGGTCGCAGCGAATTACAGCTAGATTGAAGACGCAAAGAAGCGTGATAGGATGTTCGTCCCCCAGTTTGTTGGAGCTTCGCTGGACTGCTTCACTCATCAAGCTCGCCGCCTCCACTCGTTTGAACTGGGCATTGTATATCATGGCCAGATTTGACATGGACACAATGGTGTCCGGGTGGTCTTTCCCCAAACTGTTTTCCCTCTCGTCCAGCGCGGATTTTCCCGGCGACTCTGCTTGATCGAAAGCCCCAATTTTTAAAAGTGCAAAAGACAAATTAGCCATGACAGTAACAACGACGTGACCTCCCTTGCCCGTAGCTCTTTCGATTAGGCCCATCAGCTCGGTCGCGAGCTCCCCCGCTTCCTTGAATTTGCCTGTGTCAAGATACGACAAAGCAAGGTTGCTCATACTTTGAAGCGTCTCTGGATGATCTTCACCCAGCTGTCCACGCGTTGCCTCTAGGACATCAACGGTCAGCTTTTCTGCCTGCTCATGCCGTTGGACGTGATGATAGGCTAGGGCCAATTCGCGAAGACAGTCGAGGAAATCCGGGTGCTTCTCTCCTAAGACTACCTTCATCCTCTCTGCCACATTCGCACCAAGTTCCACCGCCTCTTGATATCGACCCTGCAGACGATAGGAGTGAGCGAGGCTCGCCCTCGTAACAAGCGTATCGCGGTGATCTGCGCCCAAGGCTTTCTCCCTCGATCCAAGCACCTGTAGTTGAAGTTGTTCCGCATCTGCATATTTGCCTCGGCTTTGGTATGTGGAAGCCAAATCAAAAAGTGATTCGAGCGTCCATGGATGCTCTTCCCCGAGGAGCTGCGTCATCTTCTTTGCTACTGAAAGCCGAAGTGTCTCTGCCTCTCTGTGTCTGCCGAGTGTGTCGAGGGCTGAGGCCAAGCCCGCCTTAGCTGACAATGTGACAGTATCGTCGTCGCCTAGTGTTTGCTCCAGTTTAGCCATCACAGGTTGCAGGACCTGCCGAGCCTTCTCCCCGTCGCCCAGATGCAGATACAGAAACCCCAGCTTGGCCGTAGAATCAAGCGTATCAGAGTGATCCCACCCTAGTGCTTTCCCTCTCTGTGTCCTTACATCCACCATCAAGCTCTTGGCCTCCTCGTATTGGTTTTGCTCGATAAGTACGTGTGCCAACTCCGACTGTGCCGTAAGAAGGCCTAGGAGATCATCCTGTATCCTTGCAGCCTCCAACGACTCTTTTGCCAGGCGTTGGGCTGCGTCGAGTTTGCCTTGTTGCCTGTATGTTCGGACCAAATCCTTCATGCATACAAGCCTACGAGAATCCGATTCACTCGTGATATTGCGCAATGTGTCCACAAACAGACCCTCGGCTTGATCATACTTGCCTCGGTTGTAATACGCAGCTGCGAGACTAAGCGCGGTGGAAATCGTAACGTCATGTTCCTCGCCCAAACATCGACGCATCGTGTTGAAAGCCTCCAGGCCAAGATTTTCGGCTTCTTCCAATTGACCAATCTTTACCAACGCCGCTGACAGATTGGACTTGGTTCTGAGCGTGAAAAGGTTTTCTCGACCAGCAACCTTCTCCATTGCAGCCGACGCTTCCCTGAGTAACGAGACAGCTTCGGCATTGTCGCTGCTGAATGACTCTTTGAAACGCAAAGTGACGCCGCGGAAGGTCATTTCGGCGCCCAAGCTTTTGACCAGCTGTTCGTACGGATTGATGGAGGATGATGGTTCCATATCTATCTGGTTTGCTGGGGTGAATAACGGGATAGATGTGGTGTTGTCGAGGAACTCGGCGCCAATTGGGTGTTCGATAGGACATTGGGATGGAGGAGGAGGGTGTATTTCTGTTCACGAAGGCAATGCGGGAGAATCCCCCGACCCCGCATTTCAAAGAACGTATCTGTCTGGTTTATCCCATCGACTGCTGCAAGGCGACAGTACATCCGAGTGCGGGGGAAGAACTAATCAGGCGTTATTCCGATTTATTTCCACTATATCCGCAAATCAAAAAATTCATATCTTGGAGAATTTGGAGAAAAGCTGGAGACCATTGTACTGTCGCCTTGCAGCAGTCGATGGGATAGTCGGCCCGTAGATTGAAACATGGTAAAGAATCGAATCTTGGCACCGATTGGCTGGCGAGTACGTGTGTAGGGTCGTGTTAGCGCTGCGCCGGGCTAAGCGTAGGCTGAAATGCACCACAGCTCTCATCATCACAAGAGGTCACCTCAGCCCGGAGCACCAGACGTCTTCCAAAGCGAGCCCAGCCCTTTCGGAGTTGGCTGCTAGCTGCCACTTGGGTGTCAGCCAACATGCACAATACTAACCGTTTGAGGCAATGAACAGGGATCGGTGTCGGGTTGGTTTTCCAGTGGCCCGTATGAACAAAGAATGGATATGCAGTGGTTCCATAAACACCACTTTGTGGTTCTAGCCGCGCGTTAGGAACTCAAGTGTAATGTTAGAGGCCCTCAGTGAGGGGTACGGTCGCAACCAACCTGACTGAGGGGTATCGTGCAGCACCATACACGCCACAAACGTTTCAAGTGGCATTCGTCGGCCTAGGCAGTTGACCGATGTGGGAGTTGCTCTTCATCACGATTATGTTGCCTCTCATGGCATTTAGTCTGAGCAAGTTCGGCACGTACAAAAATTGTTGAGGTGATGCCAAAAGTAGCTCTACACTCAACATCAGACCCTGACCCGAAGCTGAGACAGACCCGAAGACCTGGATATCCTTCGAGGTATTCGCTCCATTTCTGGTGCACGCGCAGGCTTGGGGAGTCAGGCGATTGTGTGTCCTAATTCAATCCGGGCGAGACGGGGTTTGGCCTTTAACACAAGATGTAACTTGAGTACCGTATTGTAGCAGAGTCAAAGCTTATGTTAAATCCTGCGCTTTACCGTCAAGTAGTCTTTCGAGCCTTTTTTTCTCCTTTTGGTTAAAATGAAATTGTGAAAGTAAAGAGCATTCAGACTCGAAATAAAAATTCGGAACGATAAAAGCCAGTGCCTCCGCTACCTACCTGTCGGGCAGAGCCGCCCAAACTGTGCGAACCGGATTTTGTCTCGTCATGTTGCTGGCAGGCCACCAGGGTTGTGCATGACCACACCGCACTCCGATGTGAATACGCGCCAACAATGTAGGCAGGACTCCTCGAGGAGCGAGAGGTGCTCAGTACTTATGCATGACTTGCAATCACTTAAGGCTGTGGGTAAGGTATCCGTAGTTGATCGGAAACCAGACGCCCTAGACTGATTCTTGCCCCTATGGAAGCTCTCCCCGTATGGGTTCTAATTAAATTGCAAACCCCAGCGGTACTCATGCAATTACGATAGGTGTGCGTGCCTATCTTCCAATCAACCTCACCTGTGGATATACCTACCTTGCCTTTGAGCTTGACGCATGGCGATGGAAGCTTATTGGAATGCGGGAGGCGAAAACGAAGGGCCCAGCCCCCGCGTCAACACCGGTGAACGACGCTGAGTGCAGCCATCAGCAGGACGACGTCGTCGTACACAAGCGATTAGCAACACATTTTTCTCACAGCGGGCACCACTGGAGATCCTCCGCTGTTTACTTTGGTGACACGACCGCCCCCTGCAGCGTTGTCGCATTGTCTCTTTCCCTGAACATCGACGGCGGTGCTGGGGAGACGTCACGGGGGATTGGCAGTTCGCCATCTAGGACGCGTCGTGATCGCGTGTTGTGCAGCCACTTTGACTGCCCGAGGCCAGGATGGCAATACACATCGCTTGCCATTAGCCAGCCCTCTGAAACGGTGCCGCAAGGCAGGTTGGTGGGCTGGCACTTTGGACGCATGCAGTAGCAAAGTGTGAAATCACGCGCCGTCAGGATGGCGTTGGAGCGCCTGGTCGCTGCAGGCGGGGCCTGGTCTGGACGACGCTCATATGGCGGTACCTTGGGCGCAGGGTGACCGAAGTAGCGTGCTCTCCAGACGAGGTGAAGGCAAACACTTGCTAACCTACGCACTCTACGTCATCAGGCCCCTGGACCGTCGACCCAACGAGCCAGGCGAGTGGTGGCAGTGTCATAGTGCTGCAGCGTGTCAGCCTAGACTAGCGCCCGTTACGGGGGCGGTTAGCTCATTCCCACTCGATATTGCCTGTATGCATGCGCTTCGGCCCATGTCGGCGGCGTAGACTAGGCTTCCGGTCAGTTTAGCCATCGGCGCGTTCACGACCCCTGAAAGGCCCTGGATGCTTTTGCCGCGCAGCGAAGCGCACGTCCTTCCACAATGAACGCGAGAAGGCTGCGCACTGTGGCATCTGCTCGCTGCATATGTCGTGGGGAACGTTTCGTATGTACAGATGTCGATGACACCAGGCGTATCGCTGAGAACAAGCTTTCACCATTACGGTGTACGTGGGGTGGGACGGCTGAGGTGGCGCGGGAGCCGTCCGATTCGTTAGCTGCGGGCGACCCTGCAGTCTGGCGTGATGTCAAGAAAGCGCATGCCCAGCGAGCGTGCAGATCTGTGCCCGTCCCTACATAGCGATGTCGGAATGTGTGATCTGTTCTCACCTCTTCATATCCTCTCTGCGTCAGTCTCCTGGAGCAAGGTGGTCGACACGCAGTTGAACCCTCGCGCCAGAACCCGCGCCGAGCAACCGAACTGATCATATGGAGGCCGGGAATACACGGCAGCCAAGGCCCAATCCTCATTTTTCCCCTTCTTTCCAGTAGGGTGGACGGCGTAGGCCGCCACTCATGGACTACATGCACCCAAAAGCTTGCGCCAATTGCAGCTCCATAGGTGACTGGCTGGTGCTCGTGGAATTAGCAACAACCTTTTTTTCTTTTTTTTCAATCATAGAAACTCGCCAAACTCGAACTTGCGTTGGCCCGTGCACTCGACAAACTTGGTGGAGGATGGCCATCCGCCGGCAACCCTGCCTCCCTACGGGCCGCCTCGATCATCGTTCCGGGTACCTCTACCTCTCCGTCATTGGACCCTTATCACTCGATGTGGCGCTGTCCTGGCTAGAGCACGGTACGACTCGGGTCATGCTACAAGAAGTCAAGGCGGCAAGAGCAGTAATTTTGCGCTTCCGGCGATGAACCCTTGCGCCCTACAATCGCACTCAAGGGGACCCCCAGCGTCTCTAAGTGAGCAGGTGCGCGCTGTTCCCGGCTTTGCTGGACAACCGACCCGTACGGTGAGGGATCGCCGACATCGACAGGCTCCGCTCCTGAGTGACCGGCCGATGAGTTCCGGGACGGGAAGCACCCATTGAAGACCCGTCGCTCTGTAGGTGCAAACTTGGCTCGCCGCGGTTGCGGGCCTGTGTGCCCTCCCACCAACGGCCTCGGTTTGTGCCCCGTCTAGCCTATCTTTCCGCTCCAAGCACTGTTTCACTGAGGGAGCCGGAGCCCAGCACAGGAGATAAGCGGTGCCAGGCGGAGTAGAGCGGGGAAAGTGTTTTCATAAGATGCAGCGGTGCTCCAGCCTGCTCCTTGACAGACGATGACAATCCATACAAAACGACCATTTGTTTCAATATGGCGAACGCAGGACGCAGAGGTCGCGGCGGCAGCGTCCTTAATGCTTGGTGGTGGCGTGAGTTTTGTCCTCATGCTAGAGTATGGCTTAGTAGATGAACACTCTGGTCTCCGTTGCATCAAGCAGCCGAGCGTGATTCGCGAACGCGAGTTCGGGGGCCCATTGTGCAGTAGTCTCTACTCAACCTTTGATGGGAAAGCTCGTGCAAATGTGCTGCTAGCGGCAGCACTAGCTGACGGGTACCTTTCATGAGGCATATTCATTCCTGCTGCCACATGTGAACTTCATGCAGTAGGCTTGCAGTTGGTGAATGCACTTCAATGCAGTGAACCAACCGCTGCGCTTATACAGTGCCACGTTGCTGTGCGTGGCCCTGCGCCAGGTTGGTCCGAAAAGCTGCTCACCTATGAGGCTTGTCTAATTCCGACGGCCTCCTGCATGACTCCGTAAAGCCCAGTGACAAAGCCTTCTCGGAAACAAAGATTAGGAATAGATGACCATACTATGCTATGTTGTGCGGCGTATTGTCTTGTCGCACAATCACGCCTGGTCTCAAGGGGATTCTATCGGCTTGAGAGGGAGAGGTTGAAAAAGATGGCCCGGGACCCAGACATCGCGATGGAGATCCCGCGTCGACTGACATTTCCTCTTAGTGTTAGGCTCTTGTCCTGACTAGCTTGATTGACCACTATCGTCGGTGACACGGGACGCTTCCAATATTCCGTTCACAGTCTCTGTTGGCACTTAGAGATATTAAGGATGGCAAATAGACATACGTAGTCGTTATGTTGGCATCATAGCTAAAGACACCAGAGAAGAGCACTAGTATGAACAGGTCGTGTTGTGATTGTATGTATTCTACGCGCGTGTGGCAGGAGATATTCCGGAAAACCCCAACATCGACACCGGACAGTGACAAAACGACTCGTACAAGTCTTGGCCACTTCCCCCTGGAATGTTAAGTCATCCAGCGAGTATTGTCTCGAAACACGGACTCTGGCCATTCAAGTGGCTGGCACACCATTGATTCGTAAGCTGCAGACAAATGTCCCACATATCATGTGCGGGTTGGAAAGCCTCTTTATCCCCCGCAAGCACATTCGCTTCTTGACCTCAATACTAGAGGGACGATAGTTTCCATGGTAAGTGCTGAAGACCCTGGAGGAGGACGCAAAGGGTTATTATAGCTTGACAGAGACATCCTGCCCATGCCTTTTCCTCACAAGGAAGTGCTTCTTCCGTACGATGACCCATAGAATACTGGGTGAGCAGTCAGTATGTACCCGCCTATCATAAGCGCCTCCGTGTTCCATTGCCAATTACATAGTTAAATCATGTAGACTGTGCTGCCCCAGGAAGCATTTGATAACATTATTCTCATCATACAACTCTGAATGCGCAGGAGGCTGGCGACACGTTTTGTGTTCAACGGACTTAGCTGGCTGGAAGATCGCATATCTGGACCAGGCGGGGTAGGTGCAAGAGTGGGCAGTGCCAATCTGCGTGTGACCGAGTGCACCGTAGAAAGGGCCGGGTGGTAGTGACTTGGCCTCAGTGATGAGTACTTATCCATTCTTTCACACGCAAGAGCGCCACGCTAACCACAAACCTTCCATGGCAGCTGCTCAGCACAAACCAAGCCCCGTAATGGTACGGAGTACCAGTTGGTGTGTTCTCCGCATGGATAAGGGATATTAACGACCCGTCACGCGGGCCGTCGCGAGGAAGCCGCAAACGACCCGCCGCTAGTCAATCGGGGGATCCCGTCGCCGCCTTTACTACTCCATATTACATGGCGGCCTGGAAAAGCGCTATACAATGAATGGGGGAGACCTTGCGGAGGTGCGAAGCGATCAGCTCAGGTACCCAATCCCAGGATAAACAGCGTAAGGTCTGGCTGAGCTCGAGGTTCAATGCCACAGCCAACTTACTGAATGCAGATAAGCGCCCTCGCCCCGCTCTGTGCCAAGGCTTCGCAATAGCAAGTGCGCTGCATGACGACCTGGTACGCTGACAATGCCATGGGGCGAAATGTGCATAGATGTGATTCGGGCACCTCGCGTCTACTGAAATGCGCTCGCGCGGGTATGAGCCAGCTCATCGTGCTCGGCGGACGAGTCGTACGCCTTAGAGGAAAATGCAAGTGTTTGAACTGTGTACCGATACAGTACACCTGTGATACATGCACGCAGTCACGGGATGTGGAGACGAGCCTAGCCGGGGTCGACAGCCAGCTGGTCGCGGGGGAAAAGAGGCATGAGACGCTCGCTCAGCGCTTTATCTCCACATCCTGATGTGGCAGGGCTCTTCTGGCAAATCGGCACTACTGCGTACAAATCCGGCTCCATCCTCACTTCCTTCTGTACAATCCTCCGCTTCGAATACTTCGTCCCTCCACTATGGCTCCGCCGATCAGTTCATGGCTGTCCGCATCAAAGAACTTGTTGAACAAGCAGGTCATCGCTACCGTCAATGAGCTGAACCGCGATTATCATCTTGCTATCCAGATCCCCGACGCCAGTCAAGGTTCTGCCTCTGCCCCCAGGCGACCGAAACAGAATGCAGCATTCGCCCGGAGCGACGAGATTGTGCGTCTCCTGACGTATCTCTCCTCTGAGCAATCGTTCTTACTGGACAAAGTCTTGCACTCATTCGGTTGGGAGGCCCTCGCAGCCAGCGAGAAATGGATTCGCCCCTATGATTGCCGCGATCCGAGTCTCGCAACGACACAAAAGCCCAAGGCCGGCTCCCCAGGCGAGATGTTGGAACTCCAGATGGTACTCCTCGGTGTCCTAAAAAGGGCAGCCCACACCATTACGGTCCATGAGCCAAGCATGGCGACAGCAGGCACACATGTTGAAGTTTTTCAGCCTAAGAGAGAAACGCCCGCAGAGGTAGACAGTCCGGATGAAGGCGGTGCTAGATCAGTAGGCAGCGTCGTCAGGAACACAAGCTCAGAGCACCCACTAGCAGATTCTACTGCAAAAGCGCTCCCCGCTGGGACCAAGGAGACAATCACCGAGCAAGTGAATTTGCGGAATTCAACGGCTCCTCAAGATGTTCCCCATAGTTCCTTCCCAGGGTCTATTGTCAACGTATCGACGCGGCTACACGCCCATCCAACCCCTGGCGAGGGCTCTCCTGTTCTCTCGACTGTCTACACGGAGATTTCAGGCATTGATGACCCAAACCTATATGAGCCAATCTGTTGTGTCTCGATGCCTACAGAGCCAGCCAATCTTCAGTGCCGGCTCGATGCGACCTGGCGTGAGTCCCCTAGTCCCCTAGCCCCCTGTCTACAGCGTGGTGTGACTTCGGCAGCTAGGCATGTTCTTCTCAGCTCTCGCGCTGACTACACCTAGCAAAATTCCCATATTGGCTCATACAAGCTCCTTTCGCTATTGCATGGGAGATCACCCGTATTGCGCTCCACTGTGATGTTGATCTTGATGAGATTATCCTGTCTTACGATGAAACGTGGAGAGACTACGACACTCTATACCGCGTCCTTCGAGAGCAACATCCATTCAA